ATATCCTCCCCGCCTCGCATGAGAGGCCCCCATTCCGAAACCCACACCTCTTTCTCCTGCCCTTTCGCCATCCGCTTCATATCATAAAATTTTTGGGTTGTCCACTCGACCGGACTCGTTCCGTTTTTCGCCAGGCTTATGTAACCATGCACGTTGTAACGGGCGAGGAACGGGTTCAGAGTCCCAATCTGTCTCGGGGTGGTTTGGACAAAGCTATCCACCGAGGCAATCCCCGTTTTAAGCTGCTTCCTTTCAAGAGCAGCCTGGGTCATCAGTAGAATCCGCTTCATCTGCTGAAAACCGATGTTACAACCCTCCTGCCCTCCCCCCTTCATCCACCACCCCTCCAAAGCCTCATTAAACGGCTCCAAGGTATCAAACACCATTCCCTTACCCCAGCTAGTATCCTTAGCAAATTTCTCCACCACATCAGTGAGATACTCCACATAAGCTTCCTCGTACTCCACCTTCAAATTCCCCTCTCCGTAGTTGGCTGCCCCGGCAACATCCCCAGACACAGTCATCCACCAGGGCGGGCTGTTGGCAAAAGCTTCGAATGTGTCTGCCCCACGCGCCCGGGCAGCGAACAAAACTTTCCGCTGCCTGTCGTCTGCTGACCAGTTGTAGCCTGCTTGCTCTGTGGCTTTAAAGCCCGGCATGCCCCGCCATTTTCCCCAGCCTGTTTGGAGTCGGGGACTGTTGGTAGCGTTGTTGCCGCCTCCTATGTTGTAGCGGACTATGTTGAGGTTTAGACCAGATGGGGAGAATAGGAGGTCCATGAGAGGGTTCAAGTGCGCATCGGGGAAACCACCCACGAAGTTTCCTAGCCTGAGAGGGATGGAAGGGTGGGAGGGGATATCAGAAGGAGAGTATTGAGTCAATGGAGAGAAGTGGGGTCGGTGCATTGAGAGGGAGTGTCTGTTTGAACCTGGGAGTTGTTAGTCGCATTATGCCCGCCTCCTATGCTGGAGCAGACTATGTTGAGGTTTGGACCTGAAAGAGAAAGAATAGGAGGTCCATTAAGGGTTAAAGTGGGCATCAGGGAAACCACACACGAAGTTTCCTAGACTGGGAAGTATAGAAGGAGAGAGAGGGGAAGGTCAGGGGGGATGTGTTGAGTCAAGGGAGAAAAGTGGGGGTGGTGCATTGAAGGGCGGGGACAGGGACAAGAGGGCCGCAAGGAGATTGAAGTGGGATTGAAGGAAGCTATCTATGAAGCATACATCCTTCCACCTCACCCCCCCTCCCCCCCCTTTTCACCTCAACCCCCTCCCCTCCCCTTCACCTCACCCCCACTCCCCCCCCCTTTCCCCTCACCCCACATCTTCACCTGCAGTCTTACCAGCACAGCCCAGCCTCGCCACTTGCTCCCCTGCCGTATCCAGCCAGAAAGGGGTTGGAGGGAGGGATAATGAATCGGGAGCGGGGGAGAAGAGCGAGGGGAGAGAGAGAGGCGGGGAGAGGGGGGGGACGGGGGGGAGGGGTGGCTTACCAGCAGAGGGAGGTGCCCCAGCCTCGCCACTTGTTCCGCCTGCGCGGGTTCAGCGTCACTGACGCGGAGCCTGGGAAAGGGGTGGAAGGGAGGGGGGAGAGGGTGGGGGGAAGAGCATCAGCCCGCTTGTTCCGCCTGCGCGGGTTCGGAGTCACTGACGCGGAGCCTGGGCAGGGGGGAGGGTGGGGGAGCGTGGGGGAGGGTGAGGGGAGACGGGAGACACGAGACACTCAATCAACTTGTTCTGCCGCCATGGATCCAGAGTCACTGGCACAGAGCCAGGAGGGGGGGAGGGAGGAAGGGCGGGTGGGGGGGAGAGTGGGGGAGAGTGGGGGAGGGTGGGGGAGGATGGGCGAAAGCGCAGAGACACGAGACACTCAATCAACTTGATCTGCCGCCAGGGATCCAGAGTCACTGGCAGAGCCAGGAGCGGGGGAGGGAGGAAGGGCGGGTGGGGAAGGGTGGGGGAAAGAGCAGGCACACAGCTACTTGTTACGCCGCCGCGGAGTCAGAGACACCGATTCTGAGCCTGGGAAGGAAAATGGGAGGGGGAGGGGGGAGGGGGAGGGGGGCGGGGGGATGCGACAATCTCGCGGCACACAGTTAGTTGGTCCGACAGTTTTTTCGAGGCGACTTTTGAGTCGACTCAAAAGTTCATCAGACAGTTTTTGCGGGGCTATAAGAAATTTTCGATGCGAGGAGCAGATCGACGCGAGGAGAAGATCGATGCGAGGAGCTCACCATGAGACCGTTGCGCGCGGCAGATACAAGTCGTGAAAGGGACGTGCGAGGAGACGACTCGGAGTGAGTCGACTCAGCACCTTTTAAGTATGCGGCTCGGGCGAGTGAGGGACGAATGGGGGAATAGTGAGGGACGAAAAAGGCCGCTAGGCCAACGAGATAGCGCGGCAAAATCGATGCAAAGCGCGCCGAGAGCAAAGCGCCTACCTTCCAGCACAGTTAGGTTCGGCACAGTTAGGAATGGGAAGGGAGGGGGGGGGAAGTGTAGTAGCGTACCTCCTCCAGTGCATATATCGAAGAGCTCAGTAGCGGGTGTCAGGTTCGGCGTGGAATTCTCTGCGACTAGGGGTCGACTCGAACCACCGATAGATGCGATTCGCGCGCTGGGGAGCGACGCCGCTTGCGAAATGCTGTGCGACGCCACTTGCGACGTCGCTGTTAGCGAAGAGTTTTCGCCACAAGGGACCGGAACCGGGTGCGGCGATAGCCCTTGCTCAAAGCAAATGGGGGGACCCACGGGATCCCCTGATGTGCCTGAAACGACCGGAAGCGTGATATTGACGGAGTAGTCTATACCGGGGATATCTGGAATTATCTCGTCGCTGGGAGACGGGGCGGGAGCGCTTGCGGGAGCGCTTGCGGGAGCGTTTTCAGACACTCCAGCTGAAAAAGCGGCGGAAAACGCGGCGGAGAATACGGAGAGCAGGAGGAAAGTGCGACGGAGAGGACGAGAGGATAAACGAGGGTTTCTAAGCGCCATGGTTCAGCTAACGAATAGTCCGTCACGATCAGTCCGTCACGATCAGTCCGTCAACGTTAGCGATCAGTCTTCCAGAGGTAACGATCGGTCCGTCAAAGTTAACGATTGTGCCGTCGAGCTAACTATAAGTCCGTCAGGTCGACCATCCGTCACTAGTAGCAGTGACAAATGCTGATTTCGATCTCCGTGACGATTTCCGTCGACGCTTTTCGGACGGCTTCCGTCTGTGACTGAAATCGTTCGTCGCCAACAGCTGACAGCATGACCGACATAAATCTCGCCAGATCTCCGGCATGATCGGCCGTACGACAGTGTTACAAAACGGCAACGGTAAGTACGAGGATATTAGTCGCCACAGCAACAATAAGTACAAGAATTGCACAGCCCGGCTCGCTGAAGCTGGTCCAAGAGCGAAGACTGAACGTTGATGATGGATTGGTGTTAGTTTACCACTGGTTAGTTGGCAAGAAAGCGGTGACATCAGCACAGTTCTGGTCTGGAATGCTGGCAAGAAAGCTAGGACGAGTCCAGTCCAGCCCAGTGATGGCAGGTGGGGTGTTTTGAACTGACAGGGCAAGATGTTTGCTTGTGGTTTCGGGTTCAGCTCGGTTTGGTGTAATATATTCTAGCTTTTGTGAGATGCAGAGGTTTTCAACACGGTATAGAACTTGGGTAGTCTGTGTTGGCATTCGAAATGCCCTCGTCATGATGAGTCACGAAAGCAAGAATTTCGCACAGTGACCGACTAGAACATTCGCGAATCGGCGGCACGAAATTGCATGGTCCGAACCGAATGTTCCTCCGAGCCGCGCCGCGAGAGTTACGATTGGCTGACTGGCTCCCGCTGTTGACAGTTTGGCGGGAATCAGTTGGGTTGGAAGGGATGCGGGAGGCGGAGAAAGAAACGGGGGGAGGGGTAGGGTGGGGAGAAGACAGGGCGAGTCGGGGAAAGTTGGGGAAAAGGGGGGAGACAGGTACAGTGCAAGGCGGTGTCGGCATTCTTCTGTCGATACTGTTCACTGCTCTTCTCTTTGGGTTGGGCTTTGAACGACCCTCCACGACTAATTCTTTCTGACCTGTCCTTGTCGCACATGCGAAGCTCGCTTTCAAGCATACGTGGCTGGTTTCTGCTGCCACATCGGCATTAGAATTGCATGCCCCCCAGCCACATCCTAGCCACTGATATGATTTAGAAGATGTCAATGTACTATAACGTGAGAATACAAGGTCGCTATTGCAATGAAAGCACGAGGTTATTTAGGAATAGACGTACTAGGGCGATAACCTCGGAACGTGAGTAGGTTCGGCAATGTGGCGACAGTGTCGGACGGGGCGCGGGAAAGGTTTGGGCCGAAAATGAAGGCCGAACGTGACGAGTCGAGATGTTCGGGTGTACGCGGTAGCAGTCGACGCAGTAAGGAATGGCAATTCCTTACACTAGCCCCCCCTCCTAAACGTGTCCGTGGGCATCGGAGACATTCCGACGCTGATAATATGCCGTTAGAATCGGATGTGATTCTAGGTCAGCGAGGGGCATCCAGCTGTCGTCTTCGGACACGCGATCGCGCAAGCGGACGAGGAAGTCAACCATCCGACGGTTCAGCTGCGTTGTGACGCGATGTCCCATAATTTTCAAAGGCTCGGTCGTCGGTTCCTGCAAAGGCGTTAGCTGCGGTACACCGCGGTTTCGTGCCAAGGCCGGCGAACTCGGGACGTAGGGTCGGAGAAGATTGACGTGGAAGGCCGGGTGGTGGCGCCAATCAGCCGGTAATCGAAGGTGAACAGTGGCAGGTGTCACCAGGTTGGTCACTGGAAAAGGTCAGCAGAATGTGGGTCGGAGTTTGCTCAGGATCGGCAACCGCAAATTGCGAGTGTCGAGGAGGACGAGATCTCCCACTTTGTAAGTGACGTCACGGCGATGTCGATCGGCTTGTCGGCTTGCGACCAGATTGGCTTTCCTGATTGCCTCAGCGGCCTTTTCGCGGGCGGCGAGAATGTCATCAGCTAATTTCCGGGACCGGGGTACGGGTGTCTCAATGTTCGGGGTAGAGGGTATCACGGGGTCCTGTCCGTAATTGAGGAAAAAACGGGGACTGATGGGTTGTAGCGGAGGATGCATTGTTATACGCGAACTCCAGCAGCGGGAGAGATTTCTCCCATATCGATGGGTCAGTGCAGGTAGTTCGAAGGAGTTGCTCCATGGTTTGGTTGACGCGTTCGGTCTGCCCGTCGGTCTGTGGGTGGTAGGCGGAGGAAAATTGGAGTTTGGTGCCGAACTGGTCCCACAGGTGGCGCCAGAAATTCGATGTGAATTTCGGGTCTCGGTCTGAAATGATGGCGGGGGGCAGTCCGTGCAGTCGGATGACGTTCGCGAGGAACAGTTGCGCAGTTTGCTCGGCTGTGATAGTCTGTTGGCAGGCGATGAAGTGCGCCATTTTCGTGAGTCGGTCGACGACCACGAGGATGGCGTCGTTTCCGCTGGGGCCGGCCGGTAGTCCTGTCACGTAGTCCATCGTGACGTGTTGCCAGGGTAGCTCAGGCGGATCCAACGGCTGTAGTAGTCCGGCTGCTCGCTAATGCGACGATTTCATAATCTGGCAGGCAGTGCAGGAGGACACGTACTTGCGCACGTCATCGGCCATGTTCGGCCAGAAATAATTCCTCTGTAGCAAAATGCCGACGCCGAAATGCCCGGAGGTAGGGTTGTCGTGGGATTCCTGGATTAGGAGGGTACGAAGTAAATCGTAGCTGGGCACCCAGAGGCGAGAAGTACCGCGCTTATTAAAATAAGGTCCGGTGGCGGTGGTATGCTGTTGATGGATAGCGGAGCGGAAAAAGGGATCGATATTGTAGCCGTGGGTGAATATTCCCGTAAGTAATGGGTTTGTCTGGGCAACTAGTATAGCGGCAGTATGGGCAGTAGGGCGAGTCAGGGCATCGGCAATACTATTTGCCCCTCATTTGTAGGTGATGGTGTAATGGAAATTCGACTCGAGGAAATCGAGCCATCGGATCTGTTGCGGTTTGAGATTCGGTTGGGCGCGCACGTATTGTAAGGACTTGTGGTCAGTTCGCACTGTAACGTGAGCGCCTGTCATGTAGCACCGCCAGGTTTGAACGCATGGACGTTCGCCAACATTTCTTTATCGTGCACTGTATAGTTCTTCTCTGTGCCCTGCAACTTCCGTGATTCGTAGGCGACTGCCTGTAACCCGTCGCCGAAATCCTGTAGGAGAACTGCACCGATGGCGATGTCGCTGGCGTCGGTGACGAATTTGTATGGACGGTCGGGATCGGAGATGCGAAGGACGGGCGGCGACGTGATGGCGATTTTGAGTTGGTCGAATGCAGCTTGCTGCTTCTCTCCCCACCAAAAACATTCGTGATCCTTCACTCGGTAACCCAGCCATATTTGGGATAAAACGGCGGACGTAGTTGACGAAACCCAGAAAACTCTGTAGTTCTTTGAGGTTGGTCGGCGGCTTCCATTCCTGTATGGTCTTGATTTTCTTGGGGTCGATTTTCACTCCTTCGGTAGAAACGACGTGGCCCAAAAACTCCAACTTCTGCTTAAGATTGTAGCACTTAGACCCTTTCGTGATGAGGCGATTCTTGTGCAGCAGCGTGGAGACTGCATCAAGATCTCGTAAGTGCTGCTCCTGGCTGCGGCTGTAGATTAGTATGTCGTCGAGGTAGATACTAACGCATTTATCCAAGAGTTCCCAAAAAATGCCGTTCATGGTAATCTGGAACGTTGAAGGCGCGTTCGTGAGGCCAAAAGGCATCACCAGGTATTCGTAACTGCCGTAGCGTGTTCGGAAGGCGGTTTTGTTACAGTCTTCGGCGGCGACGCGAATTTGGTGGTAACCTCCTCGCAAATCGATTTTCTAGAAGTACTTGGCTCCGCGAAGTTGGTCGAGTAGTTCGTCAGCTCGCGGGATCGGGTAATGCGACTTGATGGTGATCCTGTTGAGGGCGCGGTAGTCGATGCACATGCGGAATCCGCCATCTTTTTTCGGCGTGAACAGTATGGGGGCGGCGTATGGGGACGTGCTGGGTCGGATAAAACCCTTCGTCAGGAGGTAATCTAACTGCTGCTGCAATTCTTCGAGTTCCGGTTGGCTGAGCTGAAATTGTCGCTGTACTGTCGGTTGTGCGCCTGGTTCTAGCTCGATGCGATGGTCTTCGGGTCGGCTTGGCGGAAGTCCCGCGGGTAGGTCGTCCGAGAAAATCTCAGGGTATTTTCGAATCAGGTCCGCTAAATCCGGAGGAACTGCTTCACACAGCTTCGCGATATCTTCCGCTATTGTCGGAGTCGTTACTTCGCGAAGATCAACGGCGTACGCTGCAGCTCCTGCTTTTATCGCGCGCTTGAAAGTTATCGCATGGACTTGAGTACTTCGCATGCGGGGTCCCGTCCATTTCGGTAACTCGCAAGAGTGCCCATCGATTTTGATGCAGCAGCTGCCCGTCGTCCAGTCGATCCTCGGGTTGTACTGTCGCAGCCAATCCCGTCCCAGCAGCACGTCGCACCCGTCGAGTGTGGTCGCCAGCAGTCCCATCCGAAATTTCACGTGCTCGCCACAATGGAAAGTGACGTGCTCCACCCGCTCTCGTATTGCCAGCGGTGTTCCATCCACCAGTCGTGCGTCCATTTCGGGTAGACACTTTAATAAGGGGATACCCGTTTTCTTAGCCCTGTCCAACTGTATGAGACTGTGACTCGCGCCTCCATCCACAAATATTTTCAGCAACACCCCGTTGACTTAACCCTCCACCAACACAGGGTGATCAGCAGTTTCGTCCCCCTTATTCGTCCGGGTCCGGTCGATTGCAGCAATCGGGATCACGACCCGGTGGGGACTGTGTGGCTCGGGCGAAGAAGCCTGCCCGTCAGTAAGGGGCCCATTACTTACTAACGCGACCCATTTCCTGGTCGCTCCTCCGGCTTCTTCCCCATAGAATTATGGATGGCTAGGAGCTCTTGGCAGTTGTGTTTGATGTGACCCGGTCGGCCACAGTGGTAGCATAGCCCCGTATTGCGCGGAGCAACTGCGTAAATATCCAGTGCGTCCATCCCTTTTATCGTGGCGCGCTGGTACTGTTCTCGAGGGCGACCTCCGTCGTAAAAGCTCGTCCTCGGCTTCGTGAGCGAATCAACGGCTTCGGCGAGTTGGATGAAGTCATGTAACTGCTTCGCAGGTCGTTGTAATTTTTTTTGGTACTATATTTTAGGCTTCAGCCCGCCCATGTACTGTACCTGTCGACCTTCTCCAACTCGTGCATGTAGCCACATTGATCCACCAACGTCAAGAATGACGCGGTGTAGTCGGACACAGATCCCAGCTGCTTCCACATGCGTAAAGTCTCGCGCGCTTTGTCTAAATTAGGAGCATGCTCAAATCGCTTGCGAAGCTCTGCGCACCACGTTGCCCACCTACGAATGTGAGTTGCATCAAACAACAAATCTGCCTCGTCTTCGTCGCCGAATTCTTCGGACCACTCATGCTGTCCTTCCGTGCGAGTTGTTGCTGAGTTGACGACGACCTTCCACCACTGTAGGGCGGCCCCTTGCAGCAGTGTCAACGCATGGCTGATCCGCTTCTGATCGTCTCGGATGCCCGCCGCGTTAAAATAGATATTCATGGCGAATATCCACTGCCGCACCGTCACGCCTTTATTAGCTGGGTCGAAAGGAGCGGGTTGCTGATATCTCACGCTGCCACTTGTCGAGCGCGGGGCTGTTGCCGCTAGTCGTGCCAGCTCCACTGGCGTCGGTTGCTGCTCACCCGCCTCGTTTCGTGCATCGTCGCCCGGCTCCTCTGGACGCCTTTCCTGCGCCTGGCGAAGTCGTTGGTTTTCGTCACGGAGGTTGTTGACGATGCTTGTCAAATTGTTCAACTGCTCCATTAATGCTTGCAGGTCTACTGTTTCCCGGGCAGAGTTCGCGGCAGTCGAGGTCGTCTGTTCCTCAACCGTCGAGTCTACCGGGGCCATGGCGGTCAGGACGGGGCAGAAACTAGCGCACACGCTGTAGTTGTTGACGTAAAAATATTTACGATCGAAGACAACTGCTGTGCAGCCGTGTTAATCCCCTCTGAGCACCCTTAACTAATTAAACGGGAAAACGGAAGGTTTCTAGAAAGCTCGGGCTCTGATACCAGCTGTTATGATTTCGAAGATGTCAATGTACTATAACGTGAGAATACAAGGTCGGTATTGCAATGAAAGCACGAGATTATATAGGAATAGACGTACTAGGGCAATAACCTCGGAACGTGAGTAGGTTCGGCAATGTGGCGACAGAGTCGGACGCGACTCGGGAAAGGGTTGGGCCGAAAATGAAGGCCGAACGTGACGAGTCGAGATGTTCGGGTGTACGCGGTAGCGGTCGACGCAGTAAGGAATGGCAATTCCTTACAGCCACCATATCCGCGACAGCCAGAGCTGATTGAGCTGCCCTCGACATTCATGACGAAGACGCCGTGTCGGCGTGCTGTCGTCAAGTGGTGCCGTGAAATATGAAGTTGCAAAATGATCGTTCAAACAAAGTTACAAAAAGATACACTTCAGCTAGAGATGCGCCAGCAACTTTACTTCCTACTGTTACATGGCCTTTACTACGACGTATTAATATTCATCAAGGGCCTTACAAGCGCAACTACAAATGAGACAAATGACTTACCAGAGATCTGAAACCGTATAGGAAACTCCCCATAGTTAACTTGCATGAAGTCCTCAGAGTAAGATGTCCTCCCTCCCTCCCTCCCTCCTCCCTCCCTCCCTCCCTCCCTCCCTCCCTCCCTCCCTCCCTCCCTCCCTCCCTCCCTCCCTCTCCCTCTCCCTCTCCCTCTCCCTCTCCCTTTCTCTCTCTCTCTCTCTCTCTCTCTCTCTCTCTCTCTCTCTCTCTCTCTCTCTCTCTCTCTCTCTCTCTCTCTCTCTCTCGCTCTCTCTTTCTCTCTTGATCTCGTTTTAACAAATAAATTGAAGGAAAAGGGAAAATACAGGGTAGAAGGACGTGTCATGAGAGAAAGTAAGGGATGCGAGGGGAGGCAATGCAGAGCGAAGCCCTGAATTTCAAGGCGAGGCGAGAGTAAAGGTGAGAGAGGCGAGGCAGAGGTGACTGTCGGCGGATGAAAGGACCAAATACAGATCACAGGCTCAACTAGGGACTGTATGAACTGAGAGTTAGTTGAGAGAGGCGAGAAAACAATGCAGGGTTGAAGCGCTAAATTCCGTTGCACGGGATCCAGAGGGGAGAGGGGGTTGAGAAATACGTGTAGTGTACCTCCTCCACTGCATATATCGAAGAGCTCAGTAGCGGGAGTCAGGTTCGGCGTGGAACTCTCTGTTAGGTGCCGACTCGAACCTCCACTGGATGCGACTCGCAAGCTGGCGAGCGACGCCCCTTGCGACACGCTGTGCGACTCGACATGCCACGTGACTGTTCGCGAAGGGTTTTCGCTACAGCAAATCGGAACCGTGTGGGGTGACGTGTGTGTCACATATTTGATCACCACAGGAACCCTAAGGGACACATCAAACCGCAGCGCATTCGCCTTTGAAACGCCTCCCAAAATTGTGTTATTGCCTCTATACCAACATGCCACGTTGCGATTTGCGTACTAAAATATGCAAACATTGCAATTGATTATCATCCGCGCTTCAGAGAGTTTCGGCACCGACCCATAACACGACATAAAGTATCAATAGTGTAATGAGGCTACGACGACGTGGTATAATATACAATTTCTCAACCATCAATGGAACGCGACAACAACGGGAGTCGTTATAACCGTATTAGAGTGACGTTGTATCAGTTTCAACAAACGAGGGGTACACGCACAAAATGCTACAATATCATGTTTTTGTGACATGTATGCACAACCGTCATTGGAACGTGACAACAACGAGCATGGCCAATCTGGCAGGGTGCGCTTCTATAATCGAATACATTTTATGTTAGCGAGTGCGTGCGGATACAAATACAACTTAAGTGACCATAGCCGTTTTTGTCCAATTTCCTAAATTGAAACGAGTGCACATATAACCGAGACCTGTGTACACTGCAGGATTGGGCCGTATAACCAAGGTTTAACGCGCATTGCATGCGACTGTTGCTGAGGTGCCAGGCTTGGAGTCGCTCAACACACAATCACAAGATCCATCATGGCCAGACATCACCTAAAATCAATCCCAGTAAAACCCCCCGCACCAAACAAAGCCCATCCAACAGGATATTTTGGGCTCAGCGCTTGGGATGGAGCATGCAGACATGAATTACAGTGGCGGAAACAATTGTCCACATGTTTAGCATATTTTCACATTTTGACGAGCTATACGCTATGAACATTAAGCCTTAATTCATGGTGGCCATACACGTAGAGAGGAGCAGTTAGAGCACTCACTCAAATCTCCTAAAACCAGAGTAGTATATTTCATGGTCCTTCAAGACGACAACATTGAATAACAGCACATCCGTACAATTTGTACCGAGGACAGGCATCAAACTAGTTACTAGCAAAACTAGTACCTAGTCAACCGACACTTGGCCTTGATCACCACCTACACCCTCCTAGGCATGTTATCTACGAGGTTAGTGCAAACCTTTATAGGGATCTTCTCGCACTCTTCCTGGACCCACGCTTTTGCATAAGGGGGTGAGCACTAGGAAAATCGCGAAGTATTTGAACGTATGCAAGAGTACTGTGCACGATTTCATGTTGAATGTCATCTCTAAGACTAGCCATGCTGAGGTGTTGCCAAAGATGCCATTAGTCGATTGGTCTCGTCTTATCATGGATCGTCTTCATCGTACCGTTGTAGGTAAAAATTACGAGTAGAGTGGCGAAAAATTGCGTATCTGCCACGAAACTTAGGGTAACATAGCACGGTTGACAGTGCATCCTTGCACTATTAGAATCACGCTAGGATCCGTAGGTCTCTGAGCGGTGCAGCAGTCGAAATAGTCGTGACTGGTGGGGAAAAATATTCGGGTTTGCTAGTACTAGTTTTGCTAGTAACTCGTCTTATCATGGATCGTCAAAATGTGAAAATATGCTAAGCATGTGGACAATTGTTTCCGCCACTGTACCATAGTAAGTGGCCGGGGGACAGACCTTGTTGTGTGCCGCAGCGAAATGAGACGAATCACCGCAAACTCAAGAAACTTGGCTCAATGTGTCGCTAATCACGCACGGCAGGCAACCCAGCCGTCACTAGACAGTACATGGACCTGCACATCTTGAATTATTGCACAGAGGAACCCAAGAGAGGAATTAGGCCGCAATGGAAAGCACGGAGCTAGGGAGGAGAGTGCGCAGAGTAAATGGGGGGTAGAGGGAGGGACAGGGGCACGAAGGAGTGACAGTCCACCACCCCTTATCCACATGCTCATCCCTACACATCCCCCGCCCAGCACCATGCAACCGAGTCGGGGGATGCTCTTGGGAATGTGGAGGAAGTGTATGGGCAGTTGAACCTTAGAGATATGATGGCATGGTTACGAACCAAACAATTACATAAACGACAACACATTATGTAGCTCACCAGACGAGCACGATGCAATAAAGACTCCCACCATCTCACTCCGTCAGTTGACCCACAACGGCAGCCAGAATCAGAACGATCCAGCTCGCTAACTGAGCATCTGCCCTGTGAGACACGAGAAAATGCATGATCAGCCAGGGGGGTAGTAGGTGGAGTTTTCAGGAGTCACACGTTGTCAAAGAGGGCCATATTGCATCGTTGCGGAGTCAAACATAGATAGCAGTAGCCATTCCATGCCGCAAGAAAGGTAAAAGACAGGCAAACGACAAAAAAGGACTAAACGCCATAGGACGGCATCGAGGGGGAAAGGCGAGCATACCCCAAACCCGCAGGCTTGTAGCTCGGTGATGGGTGCAGAACAACTCAGGAGTCCGCCCTGCTGGCTGGGTGTGGTCTGCGCTCCGCAGGGTGGAGAACTGGGCGCCTGCTGCCGCCCATCGGCGCAGCCACTCCGCAGTCGCCAGCTCCAAGCCATGGCTGCCCGCGCCATTCGTGCTGGCATCCGCCTTCTCTGCACTGTTGGGAACGGCGGAGGGGTCGTGCTGGCGGAATATGCGTTTGCCAACACCCTCTGTGGCGGCGTGGTAGGGCACTACCGTCCCGGATGCTCTCTCCCTGTCCGGCCCTGTAATACACAGCCGCATGCTCCGAATCTGGTCCCCTGTTAAATAGCTTGGTCCTATACACTTCCGTCCTCCCCCGTCCCCCCCCTCACTAGTCCAGTCTTTGGTTCTTCTTGGCAGCAAGTGGCTCCCTTTTCGTGTCCCATAATCCCCTTTCAAACAAACTGCCGTGCCTTTCCTTCTCTTTCTCCGCCCATCAGTCCAACCCCGCACCCGCCGCGTTTCTCTTCCCGTGCTGCTATGTGCCCTTTCATCCTGGCTCTATCCTTCATTCTGCTTTGCCAACACGCCATTCTAACAGCCACAGCATGGACCGTTCGGTGGGTCCAGTATCTCCTACGTGAATCCAGCAGCCGCTACGCGATTTTCATATGCCGCTGTGCAGGGGCACGAGGCATGGCCCCGACTACCCTAAACCATCTCTTTTGCTCTTCGTACCCTGACTCAAACCCACATGTTCCCTCTACACACTACAGACATTCTTGTGGAAGTTCCACCATGCTAAGAGGGGGTGGGCCAACACGTACCAGGCACAGATGCCGGGTCTGCTGCACGTGTTGTATGGTGGCATTTTGGCTCGCCTCGTGCACGTGCTGCAGGGGGATGATGCCAATGCCCTGGCTCTCGACGAGTGAGTAGCGTGTATTGTCATCCTCAGTCTGGTGGTATTGTACCTATCCTAAGATTGGACATGACTGGACACACCCTTAATGCACTACGTTTTTTATTTTATTTTTGCTCCCTCATCGAGGAGTTTCTTTACATGTGCCTGCCCTTTCCATTATGCTGCTTACATGTGGTCCGTTCAGTGAATTACCCTGCGGTGCATGTGGTTCCAGATCCTGCCTTTTTTTTTGGAGGGCAAGGTTATACGGGCGGGGCTGGAGGCGTTGGTTTTCTTGGTTGATTGGCATCAGAACCACATCCGCTGCGAGTTTTACACCGAGGAGACGATCCGACAGATGGAGATTGACACGCACGAGTGAGTTAATGCGAGGGCCCATGTTAGTGTCGTGCATCCTAGAGCCGTGTCAGTTGGGCGTCCAGACAATGCACATGCAGTTACTTTTCCAGGCGCTTAATTCTTTGTGTTCTCGCGCCACGTCTCATCCCCATGCCCTTGACTCCCTGCTCAGTCCCTGGCAGGACTTGTCTTTGCATGACCATCCCTTTACCCATGCCAGGTGACCGACGTTGTCAAACCTCCTCCTCGCCAACGTTTTGCCCACAGCTTTGAGGAATGACAACGGAACTTCCTTCGATCGTGGTCCTCACCGTTACCCTAGACTATGCTTCCCATGTCTACCCAGAGCTCTTCTCTCACTTGCACCGTCATGTGCCTTGTCCCCCTCTCCCACACCCCCTTGATCGTGATTGCAGACTGGTGCGGCTCTTGATGACTCAGTATCCACGGGATGGGCATGGTTGGAATCTCATTAAGATCCACGGCCTCAACCACATGCCTAAAGCCATCCGGCGTGGCGGTCATCCGCGCGAGTATTCGACCGCCACATTCGAAAATGCTCACGTCCGTTTGTGCAAGGAGCCGTTCCGGGCATCAAACAAGCGTGACTATGAAGCGGCCATTTTGGGGGGCAGCTCGACACGGCATGCCATGGAGTGTCTTCCACCTGCGCTGGAGGGGGAAACGCGCGAGTACAACACTGCGGCTAAGCGGATGAGCGTACAATGGTGCTTTCTGGCTGTGGGGCGGCTCTGGCTGATAATCGTCGTTGCCATTTTTTTCCACCTTGTATCTCGTTGTTAGACATTTCCATCCCATAAGGGCACACCCACTATGGGCTGTGTCAATGTCTCTTGGGTGTCGGTGCAAGTCAGGGGTGATCCCCGCCATCCTATGTTGTTTGTTTTGTCGCTCTTGACCCACCCTCTAAACACGTCTTAACCTGGCCTACAGGATACTGGGGGGCGGATCCTTGACCCTCGCATACGCTTCTCGTCTGAGATTGACTATTTTGTGAAGTTCCCCACCAGATGTGGCGGTACACCTCGTTTGCCACCCCACACTTCCACCCACTCTTAGACCCTACTCATCCCCCCCACCCTCTCAGGCCTTGCCTCCCATGGATGCTCCATGCGAGGTGGATTCCCGGTAGAGTGCACCATACTATGTCCCACCTTGTCACATGTTGCCCCTCCTTCCATGCCTGTCAATCCCACATCCGCCCTCATCTTCCTCCCATGTCTACCCCTTAGAGTGGAGGGGTCGCCCCACGCCTGGTCCTACGCGGGGCCCGCACGGCAATTGGGGGGACACAACTTGCTCAGCGGACTATGGCAGGTTTGCTGAAGGCATTGGCAGCCAGTATTAACCCGGGTCCCTCCCAATTATTTTTGTTCCAACGTTGGGCATGCACGCACCTCAGGCAGGCCGACTCTGACCACCAGTTCAGCGACCATCTCGGATGGGTGTGACGTCACAGCTCGCGGTTATTCGTTGTTCATGGAGTACAATTCAGCGACGGGTGGAATTCTGGCTGGGTATCGCCGGGTCATGCAGAGGCAGGGCTTCTCCAGCACTCAGGCACAGGTCAGCTCCGGTCCTTCCTCCTTTGCCTCTGTTTCAACCCGTCTTGGTCGACTTTGGGAAACGTTTTCTGCACAAGTGCTTTACCTCCCTTGCCTCGGTTTCACATCACATGGCTGACTGTGGGGAACGTTGTCTGCACAGGTGCACAGGGCGATTGCTCTACCAAAGAACGACGTGCGGACTGGTGAGGCAATGGTCCGATATGCACGTGCTCCACCCCGTCATCACGGCGCTCCAGCATTTTCGTTTGTCGAGTATGGTCCACCTGATACTGTGGCGGCGTATGGGAAGTTAGTGTTGCTGTTGTGTGCCTGCAACGAGGATGTCGCTCAAGGGGGTGCTGCGCACGAGGTCGCATACATTAAGCCATGAGAGTGTGACCGTGTTGATGCCTTGACAGGGTGCATGAGACTGCAGGAGGTGCAGAGGCCAGATGCATGCATCGTTGTTCCCGCGAGCAGCCTCAGACATGTTGTCCACGTGGTGCAGTCTTTTGATAGGCCAAGAACATGGTTGTTGAACAAGTGGGCAGATGGGTCGCGGCATGGCGGGGTTTAAATGTTGGATGCGCTTTGATGTTGCCTCGTGAAGAGGCTGTTTTGGTAGTGACATTAAAATTGATTAACCCATTGGCTTCATGCCTTCAACCGCAGAATGGTTATTTGCACTCAGTTTATTGTGCAACCTACTTTCTAACAGCTGAAATATATTTTAAGAGGTGCAACTATTCCATACATACAATGGGAGCCTATGCCGTTAACAGGGGCGCCTAAGTCATAGTGATTGTCGGGCCTCTGGCGTTCCCTCGGAGCCTAATTTCGGGCCGAACCAGGGACAAAAGCTCGAGCCGAAGCTGCGTGGTTTCATGTGTGTGACCCAGGCCCCACACCTCCCCTGATTGGTCCTCTCTTTATATGGCGAAACACTTCGACCATAATCACCAAGTCGCAGAATTCGCCACACCCCTCATGTGACATTCGGGTTTGCTGGGGGTAACTTGCGGGGCACGAGCTGTGTGATACCCACGCATGCCCCTCCCTCGGAACCCAATTTCGGGGCTCACAATTTGGGATGCTTTCTCCCGCATAAAATCTCAGGTCTGTGAAGATTATCGCGGGGCTTTTACGATCAGTGATGATTTCTGTCAACGATGGCAAACCGTTCGTCACCCAAACCGTCCGTAAGGAATAAGTGACGGTATGATCGACCGCCGCGCATAGTTCTTACACTAAAGTGAACTTTGAAATGCCAGAGAACAACTTATAATTGACGAATGTAACGGTGTCAGTGCCGGACGCGACTCGAGAAAGGGTTGGGCCGACAAATGAGGCTGAACGTGACGAGTCGAGGAGTTCGGGTGTACGCGCTAGCGTACAACTCAGTAAACACTACCCTCTCCTCCTAAACGATGTCGCGGGCATCGGAAACATTCCACTGCTCATAGTACGCTGTAAGAACCGGGTGTGATTCTAGATCAGCGAGGGGTACCCAGCTGTCATCCTCAGACGTCCGATCGCGCCATCTGACGAGAGAATTTACCACCACATTGCATCGCTCCTAACCACACTGCATCGCTCCTACCCCCATTGCACCGCAGTCCTTTGCTCAGCTCACTGCCGCCCGTCTGCTGCAGCCGCGACCGTGATGGCGGATTCAGTCCTGCGCTTGGACATGGAGGGTCAACCTATCGATTTCGATACGTGGCTCCTCGACCTCCGCCGCCAGCTCACTGGTCAGCGGCAGGACGGCCACTCCCTGGCCGTCCACCTCGACGGTACGCTTCCCTGCCCTGACCCTTCTACTCCTCTACCTGCTGACCCCACGTCTGCCGACCGTGACTCTGCTACCGCTGCTGCGCTTGCCCGCACTGTCTGGTTGTCTCGTGATGCTGTCGCCCAGCTAGTGATCAGCCACGCCCTGCCCCTGTCCAAGCGACCCCACTTTAGGTCGGTCAGGACTGCCCTGGAATTCTTAGAGGCTGTTGTTGCGTGCCATTCCACCCCGCCCTCTGCCTCCATTGGCCGCCTAATCCTGCCTATGCTCTTCCCTGACCTCGCCTCTTTCCCCACTGTCGCTGACCTGGCCACGCAATTGCGCACGCTAGACACGACCAGGCGGGTTGCCTGCACCAAAGCCCAGCTTCTTGTGTTCCAGGCCCCCTTCACCTCCACCCTTTACCTGCTTGCCACCCGCCTCCCTGACCACCTTG